GCATAGATACTGACCAGTAGCAGTAGTCACTATGCTCTTGTCACAGCTTTGGAGCGTAACGACTGTCGTGCACTCTTCTCCATCGTCCCTCTTTGCAGTGATGGTGGTATTGTGTGTTCTTACCAGCCCACAGGAGTTACTGGGTATCCCATAGTTGCATGTAGGGCAGCACTCTCCCTCCTTTCTCTCCAGTTGGTATCCCATCTTCTCGCAGGTCCTTGTGGATTCTGGGCAGGTCACGTTGGTGCATGTTGTTTCGCCTGTTGGGCTGCATATGCAGCGACTGCAAGGGCTCGGGTACCACTCTGTAAAGTGTGCCCCGTGGTATACTCGTCCTTTTAGCTGACAGCGGCTTCTTGAGCAGTCTCCACAGCAAGGATCAGTCCTGTAGTCTGGGTCGGCGCAGGTAAGAGGTGGGCAACTGGAGTAGTCGCATCTTTGAGGAGCTCCTGAGATGAGAGTTGCGCAAAAGGCGACCAGTAGAAATGATAAGCTTATCATTGAAGCCATTTCTAGATTAGAGAGAGTTTGTAGGTCTATGTTTTTAAAGTAATACTAGACAGTTATTCGTTGTAAAATCTCTGCTTTTCTCCTTTATTTATACTCTTCTCTCCCTCCAGAAAATGCTCCTGGGCCAGCCTCCCACGCAATTGAACAAGGTCCATATATGGTTGCCTCAGTCTAAACAAACAGGATATTGTTTTTGTAATTGTGTAGGTGGAAGTGATGTTACTGATGTAGCAGTCCAGGATGACTACACTAATTTCAAAGTTGAAATATTTGCTGATGGAATCTCAGCTAATCTTTCAGACACAAAGGTAGCACCATCTGTCACCATTAGAGTTCATGCAACACTGGTCTCCCCCTCAAAGACTGGAATGACAAATATTCCATCAATTGTCATGCACTGCTTTAGTCGAGCCAAGCTGAAGTATTTATTCCTTTTATAGGTACAAGCTGCTAGACTGTGTATTGAGCGTATCAAGTGTCAAGCTAGCATTACCTCAACCAGCTTGCTTGATAGTAGCATTGATATTGGAATAATATCAATTATTGATGTTAGGGATCCATTAGTTAATGATAAGACACTACTGTGTAGTAGCAGTGATGGAAATGTCTCAATGATATCGCTGACATTTAAACAAGATCCTCAGCTACACCAAAGAACTGGTAGGTTATTACACAGTTAGTGATAGAGTGCTTTATTCCCATATACCATAGATGTAATAATAAGGTTACAAAATACAGAATGTAGAAGTTGGATATTAGAAATTTTTATTATCCCAATAATAAATAGTTAAAAAAAAGAGTTATGCAAAATTACGAATTTGCAGTATATGTACATATTGCTCTAGTAAGCACTAAGTATAAGTTTTTCATCAAAATAAAACATTTTTGATTGAATTCATTAACATAATGATTACTAGAAGGGCTTTGCTCAATAAGCACGTTAGAAGTTACATGTAATTCCTTGTGGCTACATGCATTTGTTTGTTGTACTTCATTACATAACTGTTTATTTTATTTTGTAAACTTTATTTAACAGGTTTGCTAAATGTCTCTAATCCACTGGTGACAATAAGCATTGAGTACTTATTATATTTAATCGGATACTTAAAGACATTGTACGAGCCTTTCCTACCAAGCACTCCCTCCCAGCCCTCTCCTCCTAAGCCTCCTAAGTCAGAGGCTGATGGTGCTACTGTGGAACAGTATGAGATGAAGTTGACTGGTTCTATTGTCAATGCGCGGCTTGCTGCTTCTGGTGATGAGCCTAACCAAGCACTGATAGCTCAAGTGAGTGTTAATTAGTTTACGAGTGAGTGAATATGTTTGGGTGAATGCCAAAATGTCGTGTAAATGAGTTGTTGAATCATTTAATGTATGTGATGATTAGTTCCTGAATGGAGAGTATTTTAGAGTATAGTATAAATGGGCTGGAGATGAATGTATGGAATACCTGATGGGTTATGCCACTCAAGTCAATGATACATGTATGTGTATGTATATATTTTGTAAACAAATTGTTGCATAAATTGTGTAAAGATGAATGACTGCATCAGCAAATGAATTAGTGAATGGCAAGATTTTTAGCTCTTATTGACGCTGTATTCAATGGCCAACTTTGTTTTTATCTAATCTTTAATGTGGAATGATTATCAATGTTTTGTATTGTAGACTGGAGTGTCTCTTGGTATTTCATTGAAGGATGGTTCTATTTCTATTCACTCGTCACTCGATGACTGTACACTATATACTGGTTCACCTACTGCTAAAACTACAGTGAACAAGGTATGTGAATTGTACATATGTGTACCTTATTTTTCCTTTCTTTATGTTCTTCATCTTTTTCTCTCTTCCCTCCCTCTCTCTCTCTTCCCTCTCTTTCTCTTTTTTAGGACAATATTATCCTTTCTCCTTGCACCCTGTCCTTTACATTGTCCACTATGTCTGGTCACAATATAATCCTTCATCTTAAAAGAGTGGAGCTATTTGTTGCTCCTTCAACAGTCCGTCTGGTCCTCAGTATATTAAATAAGATACAGGCTGAGACCAATACAGAGGGAGAGAAAGAGAAGAGGGTCATAACTGCTCCTCCTGACCTGTTACTGGATAAACCAGTGGATGAGTCCAAGTGGTATTTTAAGAGCCAGGAGCACATTATATCAAGAATAGTTCAAGACAGTCACCTTGATGGAAAGAAAGGAGAATTAGTGAGTGAATTAATTAGCATTGAATCATTATTGTAGTAAAAATGTATGGACGATTAGACATAGTACACGTACCTTTGACATGCATATACACGTAAAATTGTGAATTATACGTAAGTGCATGGTTTAAATTCACAGTGTTCACACTTGTGTGTACATGTATAATGTACACATACATGTACTATAGCTATATATAGACTAAATGTCAGTAGTTTCATTCATTCGTTTCACGAAGTCAGCATTGTTCACACTTCACGCATAGTTTTGCAAACAGTCATAACACGGTTCAGCAGGTATAGTACAAACAGATGTTAAATAAAATTATTTTCTTCTCATCACCAAGCATCATCATGTGTGCATAACTTTACACCAAATACAAAGGATTTTTCAGGCATACTGCTGAGTGTAGTCAGTGTACCAAGTTAAAGTACACAAAAGTTGAGTTTGTACATACCATACAAGGTGATTTATTGGCAGGGAATTAATATTGGTGATTAGCAGTTCTATGAAGAAATTGCCAATATAAAATCCACCATTTTGTTTCAAACTGAGCATGCTCAATGGCACATGGCACAAAATCGCCAATATAAAATGTACCAATTTCTTTCCACAGACAAATTCGCCAAATATTACTTACAATTAGATATTACATGTACAGTATGTGTGACAGGAATTATTGTGGGAAAGTTTCTTACATATGCATGTCACTTAAAACTTTATGCTGTATATGTTCATCTATTGCTCTTACTCTTAATCTTTTTCCTCTCTTTCTCTCTCTTTCAGTTAATGCTTGATATAGATCAAGTCTCTATCACTTTATTGCAAGAGCATCCAAGAACTGGTGAAGTATCATCAGCTTTCAGTATATTACTAGGAAGCTATGGGAATAAAGGACTTCACCTTCAGGCACAAGAGTGGTCTGGAGAGGTTAGTAATCACATACCCTCTACATATAATAATATGTATTGTGCTTTACTGTATAACTACATGTATTAATACATGTACATGTAAATGTAAGTATTATGCAACCAGAAATCTTTGAGGGTCTTAACTTTTGCTGATTTTTCAATCTTAATTGTTGAGATTCTCAAAATTAAAATACAGTACAAGATGTTGGAATATGTTTTGATTCACGAAACACAAATCCATGGAAATGATTTTGAACATATCTGTGAATGTTTGATCCTTTAACAGTTGTTTTAAAGTTGATGCACAGAATAAGGACATTTACATGTGTATAATATGTATTAGAAAAAGTTATGA